CACCTCACCTGCAATTTAATAACCCGACAAATACAATGTACATAAGCATATTATTTATATAATCACTTTACTGTAGCATATCTTTTACATACCAACAAAGGCTCTCTCTCTCTCTCTCTCTCTCTCTCTCTCTCTCTCTCTCTCTCTCTCTCTCTCTCTCTCTCTCTCTCTCTCTCTCTCTCTCTCTCTCTCTCTCTCTCTCTCTCTCTTACACACACATCTTCACACCCTTGGAAATGCATTTTGCGAAAGAGATGTTTGTATAAAAGCTAATCTCCCGCCTCCCCCCCCCCCAACCTCTGCACATACACCCCAGCCTCCTTTGTCTCGTCCCCCACCATCAAAAGTGCTGGGTGTTGTCAACATAAAATTTTAATTTTTCTGATTTACCGGGTAGTTAAAAAAGAAGGTAAGATGAATAAACCAATGACAGAAATTAAAATAAATTGTAATTTAACATACCTTTTTTTTTCTTACAACAACGGAGCCTTACGGGATTTAGCTCTAGCAAAACTGTCAATTATTGGTTCGTAGTCCAATTTTCGCGCTAGACTGGCCTCTTTGGCCAAATTCCATTACTTATGAATCTGTCTTAACGCATTGTGGACCGCAAAATGTTTTTCACCCGAGAAAGGGTACGGAAGGAACGTTCAGCTTGTGCAACTGTGAATGTGACAGGCAAGGTGCAGAAGATTCTCAACATGATTACTACGTTTGGAAACAAAGCATCCAGTTTCAGGGAATGAAGTCTGCTCAGCAACTGAAGAGGCGGCAGGACATTTTTTCCAATGTTCGCTGAATGAATCACTTTCAAATGTTCCAACTCTTGCGCAAGGTCTGCTGATGCATCCACTGCATATTCCGTGTGCAATTTGTTTGCAAGATCACGAATAACGCCGACTTCCTCTTGGAGATATTTCCACAAAACACACAAAAAAAAACGAATCGAGTTTTGTCACTGCATTTTACCTTGTCGTCAAATTTCCAAGAAGGCAGTCAATGAGGACATAAAAATGTCATGTTTGAAATTGTTCTCGGGATTTTGGTAGTCTGTTACATCTTCTTTCTCGTCTGCAAAAAGCTTCCTTTTCTTTTGTCGTCTTATGCTGTTTCGGCAAATGAATGCTCAATCTCATAGTTATCTGCTACTAATTTGGACACACTCAAGATTGCGTCCCATTCATCTCGTAAGCTTTTCAGATCTTTAATCAGACTATTGATATTTGCCACCTCAACGTCAAGCGTCGCATCTCGTGCTTGCAGCACGCTATTTCTGTGATCGATTGCTGTGAACTGTGAGACTGTGAGGATTTTGAGCCTAACAGATGCCATTATCACACATTCAAATGATGCAAAGTAGGCCTACTTAAGAATACCTATCAAATCTGAATGTGTTTCTGGGGGGAAGGTTCATTTGAAGAACAGTTTGAACAGCTTTCCTCAGTCCCCCGATGTGAACCGCAAAAGGCCTGACTCTGTCAACACGTGCTGACCAACATGTCTGAGACATACTGTGCAAAGAGCTGGGAATGTTTTGCCTCAAAATTTCCCACCTTTGTGGACTGGAGCTACAATGTTATCAGCTTCTGTACAACTCCAAAGAAAGTTATGACTGTTGAACAGCTTTCTGCAAAATGCACGCCACACAAATTCAAACTAGGACACCCACAGGGAGAATATGTGGCAAGTTGCAATCTATACATTTAAGAAATTTCTCTTCTACTTTGTAGACATTTGTATCAGTCCAAGTGAACATAACGCAAAATAAAAACAGTTTGTTCGACGTGTGAAGAGTCTGGTGTTGCATCAACGATAGTGGAGTAATATTTCGTTTCCGCTCTTTCATTCAAAATCACTTCTGATGCACAACATAGGATGCATTCATTTTGACTTTCTGGTGATAAATAGTGAACTTGTATAGGCGCCTTTTTTCCTTTTGTGATTTTTCAACTTTTTGTAAGATGCTCTGCAAGGAGAGGATCGTTATGGCCAATCAATTCCAGAAGTCCAAGAAAGCACTACCAAAGTTCTGTGAAGTTGTCAGATATTCAGCTCAACTTGCAGGCAAAATATATTTTATTTCAAAGCTTTGTACGGTACTCTCTCTCTCTCTCTCTCTCTCTCTCTCTCTCTCTCTCTCTCTCTCTCTCTTTCCCTCTCTTTTTTTTTATCTCTCTATCTTTTCTCTCTCTCTTTTCCCCGTGCTTGCGGGCCCCCAAACCCCCGGGCCCCGGGGCATTGGCCCCTCCTGACCCCCCCTCTCGCCAGGCCTGCCTCCTGTACATATGGGGACGGACATTGCTCTAATTATATCTTAGTTAATGTAGGCCTATTATTATTATTATTATTACGTCTATATATATCATATCTCTTGTCTCTGTCAGAATCAGAAAGAAGTTTTAACTCTTCGAAGACACACACTCCTGGTTATTTGGCTTCGCTTTGGAGACACGCTGTTTTGTGACACTTATTTTCGTTATTTTCGCAAGTTGTTTAGTTTGTACATTTTTATCTTTCTGATTTGTGTATGATCGTTTGAATGAGCCAGATCATGGCCTTTGATCTGCTGCCGGACGTACTCCAAAACGGTTTTAGAGCGTTAAGTTTTTTCCGCCAAGGTCAAGGACTCAAAGCCTAAAATCTCCAATCTAAGGGGAAGCTACTCTTATTAATTATATCTAGCCTACTACTAAGCTTGGCCCAGCACACAAGAAGCAAAGATGACAACTGGTGTTTGTAGTTGTTGCTAGATCAACCGACTTCTCACAATGCACTCTGTGGCTTTTAAGCCTCAATCTGTCAGTTAGTTGTAGGTTTTGCACCTATTACAATAGCTGAATCAGCAGCTTTTACTTCAATTGAAACTTAACTCCGAATTCACTGATAAAAATATATTATGAAATGAACGTTTAGCTGGACCTTGGAGGATGGAAAAAGATATGATGAAAAAGAAGTTCGGCCTCCCTCCAATGCCGCCCATTGGACCGGGGTGAGTGTACGAATCATTCATTGTAACCAGCAACGAGAATGTTAATGTTTCATGGAATGTTCACCTTCAGACTTAATGTCTTCATTCAGTGGCGGTGGGTAGTGAAGGGCTCACAGGCTCACCCCCTAGTGGCCCGAGTCTATCCCAAGGCAAATGAAAATAACGAAATAAGCAGTTGAAACTGTTTTGATCTATAGCACGCAATGAACACAGAGTGATCAACTTGCCGGCTTGCTGGTTCATCCAATCCCTGTTGTCACGGCTTACAACTTTAGTAACCTTACAGCCAATCAAATGTCTTACTTTAGGACTTTAGGGCTAAGCAATCAACCAGCCCATTCCCACGGTCCCTCCTTAGTGAAACCCCTCTTGTAAAAAGATAGAAGACTGGAAAAAATATCACTGCAGAGAGGGCTCTCATGCTCTCCCAGCCCTGACAATGAGGTGAAAGTTTACGACACATTTTCCCCCAGTGACACAGTTACCTACGTTCTCATTGATTGGACCTTTGTTCTATTTTCCGCAACAACACGACCCAATCCATCTCATAGACGGTATGTGTTTAGAGTGCTGTGTGTTTGTGCCGCTGAGATTTAACAGTTATTAATTACATCAAACCACTTTTGAGGCAACAGTTTCATCAGATAAAAATTGAGAAATTTGGAGGTGAAACGTCTTCGTCTCCACTACCCCAAAAAATGTAACGTAGAACAAAGAGATGGAAGACAAAGGTGACTCTTCTCGTTTGAATGGTTCTCAAAATGCCGTTACTCACCATGAGTATAGTAAAATCATCACTGTCTAGAGATTATTGCTTGCTTTTTGGTGGTAAAGAAGTGAAGGCAACCTAAGCCCCACCCAAATCTTAGTCCACCCACTGCCACTGAATGTCTTGCACCGGTAAACCAACTGCAAAATATATACAGTGGAATCCTGTTATAACGAGAGGGAGGGGACCGGTGCCAAATGTCCGTTATAGCAGGGTTCTCTTGTTATACGAGATCCAGTGATAAGTTCAAGGGAAATAGTAAAGTAGGCCTAATCTATGAGTCTAGTTTTCGGTTTATTTATTTTTATAATCTCCCCTGATGATGATTTGGTTCAACATGACCTTTAAGTTTTACTTGATCAAAAGTCGAATCGGGTTTCTTTCTCTAGCGCTAGCGATGTTGACAGCTCGGCGTAGGTGATCAGAAAGAAAGTTCTCTTGGCTAACTCGCCCGCTGTGTTGTCCCCCACCACATCACACCCTGTGGTGCGTTCCGTCTGCTTATAAGTGCACAATGGGAACAGACCACACCCCGCCCACGCCACACATTCGCTCCGTCCGTCACAGTACATCACTATGACCTCTCCATCCCCGCATCGGAGAAGTGAGAGGCCTAGATAATCTAGACTAGGCTGGCCTATCACACGATGCGTTCTGCTTACACACAAGTCTGTGCTAGCCTCGAAACTAGATCAATGATTTATGTCTGTCCGTCTAGATCTAGACCTAGGCCATAGATCTAGAAGAACCTAGGTCTACCCTGAGCCAACAGGGCGCTGAAACTTTTCGAAATCACAAAAGAGTTCCCCTATCGGGTCTGTATACTTTGTGACTTTGTTCCCGGTTACCAGGTCTGTATACACTCCCTATTGACAATATTGATGTTATAATGAACATAATTTTTATTCAAAACAAAATAAGATGTGTCTTAGATGCTGTCTGTGACAATTACATGGAGGATTTGTTTGCAATTGAGAGAAAGGTAACTCTTTGCTGATTCGATTTGCACCCAGAGGAAACGATCAGTGAATATCGCTGTTAGATATTTTCCCCAGGGAACCCCGATCGGTGACAGTGTGATATAATAGCAACAAAAATGTTGTAGGAATGATCTTCTTTTAGACATGTTGTGCACAACATGAAGCTGCAGCAAACACCTAGCACATCTCTGTGATTGGCCCAAATATAAATGACATATTTCCGCCATCTATTTTTGTCATCTTCCGGGGCTTCCTTGCCAGTTGACGAGATCTCGCTGTGGCGGGCTCTCTTTGCTGCTTAGTGCGTGCACGGCTGTTCCACTCAGGATCACTTAGTAACCGGCCGACCTGACCCCTGAAACGAGGTCACGCCCCAGTTATGCTACTTGCGGGCGCTTTTCCTCGCGGTCAGTGGCTGTGATGTTCTGTTTTTTACACTTAAAACAACACCAGTTCTTTTTACAGCCGGGAAGGTCAATGAAACAACTACCTACTACCTAATGATCACATGAAGACGAAGGTGTAGTTTACGACAGTATAATTTTTATCACGGAGAAGTAAAAGAAAGTGCAATTTAAAAGAGGGGAAACGTGGCTTCCATCATTGATTGGTTATCACAAATTAACATGTTTTAAAAAAAAAATTAAAAAATAAAAGGACCGACAGATTTTTACTATCTTCATTGTCAGCTCACAGTCAGACTTTGAACTTTCAAACACACTTACGTTGAGGTTGGGCCAAAAAGTCTTGTTGTTATTGTTGATTAATGCACCCAGTCTTGTCATTGAGTCGGAAAACAGTTCAGTCCAGCCAACGCATGAGTACATTTCACATGAGACTGAAGACCATTCTTTACACCTTCACAGCTGAATTGATGTTATTCCAGTAAATATTTGATATAATGATAAACATACTACTTTTAGGAACTCTACTTTAAGGAACTAAGGTTTTATCCATCCGGGAATAATCTGAATCATCTTGTTGTCTTGTTTACTTTTTCCTTCGTTTTTTCCACGGGCTCATGGAGTGTGGCCTTTAAATCTCACGATGTCTGTAGTCGGTGTGCTTCCGAAACAGCTTTAAGTTGTTTTTGTTTGCTTTTTATGCCTACTGTTCTCTTCTCTTTTCTACTCTGGTGATTGTGGCATGGAGCATCCCCCCCCCCCCCCCCTTGTTCGCCCAGCATGCCAAGGCCCTAGCCCCAGGCTTTCATAAATGGCAGGCAATGGCGCTCTAGCATGTGTATATTTTGTGTCACTGTGTGAGGAAATATCTGGCGGAATAGTTTTAGATATATATGAATGGATGTGTGCGCTAATGGAAATGTGTTCTGATGGGGTACAGAAGAAGCAACTGGGGTGGGGGTATCCGTTAAGCTCTCAGACTCTACTGCCATACACGAGAGGGGGACGGAGAAGGCAACTCGTGTCCTTCCGTAAGCAAAGGAATACTCTCTTTAATGCACCGTTTGCTAAGTTTAACACAGCGAGCACAGACAGAGCACTGGTTATTCATACTAGTGCTTGCGTCATAAGCCGACCAAAATTTGGCATTGTCTTCAACACATTTCTGTACGGCCTGCAAAGTTGCATCTGTAATTTGCTTCTGTAATTTGCTTCTGTAACGTGTATATTTGCGAGCCACATTTCCTGCTCAGAGTGTTGGATTGCTTGTCGGCTGTGTCGTTGTTGATGTTTATTCTATAATATAGCAATACGTCAGACTTTAAGTTTTTGCACAGAAATCGACGCTGCTTAGAAACTTTAGTTTTTAAGCTTTTTCCACCACAAGTAAGACACAACTAGTTTAAATTCTCAAAGTGGATGTTATAAGAATGTTCCATCTTTAATGTTAAAAGGCTCTATAGTTGTAAACACACAAGAAAGTCAGACGACAAGTTCCCGCTTCACAGAGTTTTTCTTTGCACGGAGCGTTGCACTAGACTAGTCACATAAAGTGTGCTAGTTCATGTAAATTTAGGCCGGACCCCTAAGATTTTTCACCGCAATGGAGAGAATAGATTTATAAAAAGAAATATATGAAAGTTAAAACAAAAATTGTCAGTTCGAATTATAAAAATCCGCTTTTAAATCCAAAAAAATTCAACAACACACTGCTGTACAACAGTGGTAGTATATAGGTATCCCAAGTGAACCTAAAACGAGATACAAGCTGGTTTCAAACTGCAGGCTATAGAGGAGATGCTGAGCTTTCATTTGGTATAACACTCCTAGGTTTACGGGGTGGATAAAGGGAGTAATATGTTGTAAATTCTTGAAATTGCACCCTTTTCGCGCGGAGCGGTCAGATCTAGGAATAGGCCGGTGGAAGTGGCGTAACGTGTCGAGATTTATTACCTTCCGCGAGGGGTCACAGGTGTCAGAGGAGTCAGATGGGCTACAACTAAGTGCACCTCTCGGAGAGTGAAGCTGAACAGCTGTGCGTGATGGGCTAAATCACTAGGTTTCATTGCCGATTTCTTGGGCTGTGTGTGCGTGCACGCTTGTGTGTTTGTGTGTGTGCGCTTGTGTGTGTGTGTGTGCGTGTATGTGTGTGTGTGTGTGTGTGTGTGTGTGTGTGTGTGTGTGTGTGTGTGTGTGTGTGTGTGTGTGTGTACAACTTTTGAGGAGAAGGTAAATTTATGGAATGAGAATTGCTGAGATTGTTTATTAAAAGATAACAAATTAATCCCCCCCCCAAAAAAAAACCAAACACGGCGAGATGTTGTCAACAATTAGTGGCGAGGGAAACCCAATGAGTCTTGGGGGAAGCCCCGGAAGACTACAAACATAGATGGCGGAAATATGTCATCTATATTTGGGCCAATCACAGAGGTGTGCGAGGTGCTGGCTGTAGCTTTGTCTTTTTATTTAATACAAGTTTCCTTTCTAAATGGTTTTTGTGTGGCTTTTGACTTTGAGAGGACGAAAATCAGTTTGTACTACAACTGGAGCAATTTAAAAAAAAATGTTGGGTAGACCTGACATAAGTGCTGCTCTACACTGACGCCATGAGAATTCGGTGATGAATGTGCTAGATCTAATGTTTTCAGTTTCAATTCTAGAATTCCTTTTTTGGTGAACATGCGATCATCATGTTCAATTTTCTCAATCCGCTGAAAATAATGATTGGGGTATTTTTGCTGAGATACAAATAAAGTAGTGATGTACCTGATCTGCATCCTGGTACGTGGGGACAAAGGTTGTGCGTTCTGCGTGCTGGGTTGGTGGAAAGTGTTAATAAACTTATAAGGAGCGATTTATGGGTGATTTTCACAACATTTTCGATGACTTTGAAAAATGTTCTAACAGTTCTGATGCATTTCATTATTTATTGATACAAGTACAGTAGTACCTGCCAAGACGACCACCTCTGTACAAACGGCCACTCTCCATTTCCTTCCTTGTGTTTTTACTAATGACTGCGTGAATCGATACAAGTTCAATGCAGCTACAGCCACTATTTTTTATAAACCAACATCCAAAAAAGACCTATTCACGATTTCCACACGAACTTCTCATCACCGCACAGGTTGTTATAATTTATTTATTGGCTCATTTTCCATTCATCTGGTGTTATTGATATTACGCTGAACCAGCTGTTGAACCAGCACATCGTAGTGAAGGTGAGTTTCTTGTCCCTCCCACTGTTTACGCAAGTTGACCAGTCAGTAACATGTAACAAAAATTAGTCTTGCCTTACGGCAGTTCTAAGCCTGCTACTGTCTCTACTTGGGACTTCAGAAGGGAATGGTTTGTTTTCTTCATTTTGATCAGCCCTGCATAAAACTTTCACTTTTTTCCCCCGACAATGGGTGGCCGTCATAGGCAGTTTTGACTGTACTTCATCTGGCATGCTTGTTGCCTCCCCTTGAAGGGTGAGTGAGAAAGATTGGTTAATTTCCTTCAAAAGTTTTACTTGAGCAGATGGGATCAAAGTTTTCTTTCTGTGTGTATTTTTTTGCAGAGCCCCAGCTCGCAGAAACCTGAAGCGAAAAAGAGACTACACTCCTGTTCCTTGGGACAAATATTTTAACTCAAAATTGGATGTACCATTAACTGATGGAGATGTATCCTTTCTCAGACAACCCTGACATGTTGTGTTTTTGTATGAATCTGTTTGACTTCAATGTACTGATAGAAACATAGAAATTAGATTGTTTCAGTTTTCAGCCTTGACTTAGTGCCAGACTTTTCGAGTGTATGAGTGTGGCTCAGAGGGACCTGTTCTTCTCTTTTTGCATGGCGGTGGTTTCTCTGCTCTCTCCTGGGCCCTTCTGTCGGTTTGTATTACCAAAGTTTTGTTATCAGCTACAATAAGGCTTTAGCCAATGAGTCCTGCGTATATATAATATATAATGTATAATATCATAGTGCAGCGAAAAATTTGTGGCCCAACTTTTTGTAAAATTTCTCCTCAACTATCGAACATAGACTCTTCAACATTTGCACAATGACTTGTATCAATTTGTTTCAACAGATCTATAGTTTTGTTAACACCATTCTACTGTATTCTAGAAAATTCCTTCAAAAATACATATATAAAAAATCCTAGTGGGTGGTTTCTACAGATTTTTAAAAGGTTTAAATCCCATGAGCTTGGACTGCAGCACTTTTAAAAGCAAGTCTGTCCTTTCTTCTAATTTCAACACTATATTCTTATTGAACGCATGCTTTGAGAATCTTTAGTGCAAAAAAAAAGTATATAAAAATCATTTGTTTATTTGTTTGTAACAATAAATGGTGCGGAATGAAACTCGTAGTTTTTATACCTCCATTTTTTAACCATGGATGTTACATTTTATTACTTTTAAAACCAAAACGCACTGGCACTAAGCACCTCATTACTGAGCATGAATTGGTCACACTGTTCTTGACTTCTTTTTCTCGTAAGTTATTGAGGGATGTTTGTGATAATCTGTGAAGTTTGTTACAAAAATTGCCCCTTTTTATCGGTATCTGATAATGTCAAGAATGATGACATCTGACCTAGACACCTTCCTGTCACAATGCCAGTCTAAAATTCCTCCTCATCATCATGCTGCCCCTCATCAGGCGAACAATTTTTAAAGTTGGAGCTGAAATTCTTTACATTTTCACATGTCATTTATCAGGAAATCGCTTTTATGTGTGGGCTGAAGTTTAACCGTTAAAAAGTGTCCTTGAAGTCATTGGTTAGCTGTGACATAGGCCAAAATGCGTATATATGCAAAATGTATGTGAAAAGCAGGAAATTATGTGAACACACCCATTTTATGCATGACAGGGATTTGTAGCATTTTATATATATCTTACTACTAATGGAGCTAAGGCCAAATTTTGCGAACAATATATTCTCAGAAACTACTGAATAAAAAAATACGAAACTTTGCCAGTACCCATAACTTGAAACGTAGTGTTGCACTATTGTATTTTCATTAAGATCAAATGTGTAAGAAGAAAGCCCATTTTAAGTTAAATTCAGTCCTTTTGTAGCGATCGCCATCATTTGCTTCGACATTGTATATTCACTGCAGAGGAGGAGGAGGAGGAAGAAGGAGCAAGAGGAGAGGGAGAACAAGAAAAAAAAAGAAGGAGAAGAAGAATCAAGTAGTAATACATTTACAAAGTGGGGACTTTTTCGTTTGTTTCTCTAACTTGGGAGAGAGAGATTGAGAGAGAGAGAGAGAGAGAGAGAGAGAGAGAGAGAGAGAGAGAGAGAGAGAGAGAGAGAGAGAGAGAGAGAGAGGGGGGGGGGGGGCAGAAAGTACTGCAGAGGGAGGGTGGTGAGAGTGACAGGGAGGGTGTCGTCGAAAGCGCCAAGAGTAGCCTACCGTAGGCCTACTTGATGTATTCATAGGTCAAAGTCAAAGGTTCAGCCAATCATAGCGCGGTTTACGCCCTGCGTGTAGTCGCATGTGTGTGTATGTCTAGATCTAATATCTAGGCCATCTGTGACCCTGCTGGTTGTTAAAAAGGTGAATTTCTAAACTTAGACCTATCTAAGGGCCTAGGCTCCTTCTTTCAATTAATGTCCTATGTCTTTATGATCCTTCAAGATCTAGACTAGATCTAAAATCTAGATGAGGTTCTTCTAGGAAGCAACAGTTGGCATGTAGGCCTAATTCTTAAAAAAAAGAAGTGATTTAGCTGGAACTTTAGGAGAAAATGCCACGCCTTCGAAGAGGGGGAATAAGTCTTACCCTTAGAGGTAATCAAGAAGGGGTGCTACATGGGTAAATTCAAGGTAAAATAATTATGTTTTGTTTCTTTCCTGTTTTCAGTCTTTTTCCTGTTCTTAACTTTCCTAATACTTCTTCATTGTTATTCCGTTCGTAGAACGGGTACTTTTACTAGTATATACTTATGAAGCAAAGTCTAGATCTAGCCTTAATTGTTGTAGAAGAATATAATTAAGTTCAAACAAACTATTGTGCTAAGTATAGGTGATATTGATTCACCCATTAAAGATGTATTTGAGGATAATTTGCACCATGAATTTTTGACCGCACTATAGTTCATGTCTAGTAGTATTTTTCAGGTGATTGTTTTGTTATGATTCAGCTGTGACCAGGCTTGAGCCTGAGTGATGCCTTTACCGGTTCAGTTCTTGTTGTCTTCTCCAACTGACTTTTATAATAGTGTTGTAGATTTTTACCTGTTTTTTTCGTTTACGGTTGTCAAGAATGATTTGCTTAAAGCTGTTTCTTCTCATTTTTCCAAGATGTATAACATTTGTTATATTTTATGTACAAATGTTAGTCAAATCCTGTCTGCCTTTTTTTTGTTGTGAGAATATCAAGCTGTTTATAAGTTGAAGGATTGCAGTGAAACTCCACTGTTAAAACTACTTAGGATATTTGAAATTCAAGATAACTAACAACTCTACAGTCTAGGTTTACTGTTGTGCCTTTGTGTGTTTGCAAATGGTAGTTCATTTTATTTAATTTTGTTTTGAATCACTCATTGCATTTGGCAGTTTATGTTTTTCCCATCTGTTATCTGTCTCGGCCTTAGGCCCAGGTGACAACAATGGTCAAGTGTCGTTGTGTGGCTGTAGACTTGCGAGGACACGGTAAGCTCTTCCTAAAATCCTAGGAACTTTTTTTATTGTGTGTTTCTGGGATTGAGAATTTTTTGCAAAAATTGAAAAGTTTATGTTCATGAATATAGCAATTGCTTCCCAACTACAATGAATACTTGCACTTAGGTTTGAAAAGATTGCTTTGAACTCACCCCAAAAAAAAAGTCAGGAGTTTGAAAAGACGGTAAAAGATTAGAAATTTCTTAATTTCTTGTTTCATATTTATAATGATGATGAAGAGGCAACTCAGTCTGTTCTCCCTCTTATTTGCAGGTGACACTGTTACTTCAGACAATCAGAACCTGAGTGCTGAACAAATGTCCAGGTTGGATGAGTTAGATGATATATATATGCACTGTGGTGTCCACTTAGATAAGGGCAACCTTTGCCTGACAGTAACCAAAGCTTGAAACGAAATAATTTCCTCTATAGATTATCCTGCCTTTTCCTCCAACAGCAACCTTTATTGCAATATTGTCTGACAAATAACATTTTTATGATTAAAAAACAATGTGACTACCGAGATTGACCCAGTGTTCATGCATCCCAACTCTTTCGTTTACCTCCTCACAATATCTGCTTGAGCGAAAAATACACTATACCGAGTATAGGAGTAGGAGCTCAGCTCACACCATGTCACCAAGACACCTTACTTCGAAATTTCTCCTAAAAGAGAAAAAGTCTCTGCCATTGTGCATAAGATTATTGCCTAGCTATCGAGCATTGGCTCACCGACGCTGCCTATGCTCTCACTTTCTGACATAATAATGTCATCACGTCATGCAATTAGGACTTGTGGGTGTGTGTGTATGTGTGAGAGGGGTGTGGGTGGGTACAGACAGACGGACGGACGGACGGACTGTTAGTTCCATTTTGAGTTGGAGGTATTTAAACTTGTAATGCAACTTTTCTTTTGACTAGCTGGGGTTAATGTTCGGTTGATTTTTTTGTTTTACTTAGATATACGTTGGCCAAGGGCAGATTGATTTCAATTGATGCACAGTACTTGATGTCTCTCTTTGCCCGGCCTCTGTTTGCTGAAAACTAAAATGTTTGTTAAGTTCTGATTCATTATCATACTGTCATAGCACTTGATCTTACTGATTTTCAGTTTTTGTGTAATATGTGAATGGGTACAGAGGACACTATAATCTTGAACTTTTATAGCTTTTATTTCTAAGCAATAAGCCATATTGGTTCCTTATCATGTTTAAGTTGATCAACTCATCTCTTTCCCTGTCCAGTGATGTTGGTCATGTAGTGTCCAGTCTTTACCAGGATGACCCACCCCCTATTATTCTGGTTGGCCACAGGTAATTGTTGAATTTTCCTCACTTGTTGTAATTGTCAATGTTGTTGTCGTTGTTGTTTAGTTACCAGTTCAGCAGCTTGCGGGGAGGGGGTTGGGGGTTGGAAAAAAAAATGTATATGATTGTTTATATTATATGAGTAGCGGTATACAGTAGTCTCCGCTTAAGATCCCGGTGCTCGGGAGCAAGGAAATGCGGGATCTTAGGCGAACCGAGATCTTAACCGACGAACCCAGGGAAGAATCTTTGGCGACCCATGTTAAGGCTCACAATCAGTAAAATGGTCTCCCTCCACTCTAAAATGAACTGACGTGACCGCTTGGTGGGTTTATGACGTATGGCGAGCAAAGAGCAGTTAACCTTGATGACCTATTACTATCATAATGCATAGTGGGATGAGGCGTGCCATTTTCACTTATCCTATCATGAGTCTCAAGATCTACGCTTATCCAGTAGCCCCTCCCCCTTACCTGTCGAAAATTTTATAGCTTTCCATCTCCGACCGAGTCCCCCCAACCCCCCCAACCTCCTTTGTCGTTACACACCATTACGTTGTGAACCCACCAATTAAAATTCATTCTGTCTCGCAAATTCGGGAGTAGAGACAACTTCTGCAATGGTCAGGGAAGAGTTCACAGTTCAATGTGATCCAGCCTGGAGTGAACATGTAGGCCCTTCCCACCCAGCGTGTGATGTAAGTTTAGGGGGAGAGATCAGGTGAGAGTGCGATGTTCGGGGAAAACAAACCCTTCGGTCAGTTCACACCCCGCTGTGATCCCGTCTGGGGCAAACATTGTATGGCTTCATCGAGGTTTACAAACGTGTATGTGATCACATTCACGATAGTGGCTGATCTTTGACGCAACAGACAGTTTATTGATCTCAACTTTTAACTCTTGGTTGATCGGCTGTCCCGCCCGCGTTTTTATTCCGCAAATTATCATCTGAAATGCGGGATCATAGTCGAATGTAGACCTTCAGAGTGAATCAGAGCGGGATTTTAGGGGTGACTTTTGTATAGTAAAAATTCTGTTTTCTTAAAACAGCGGGATCTTAAGCGAACCGGGATCGTAAGTGGTGGGATCTTAAGCGGAGACTACTGTACTGTGAAATGATTAGTTTTGTTTTGATTTTGAAATATGTAAAGTCCCTATTGCCACTGTACGAGTTGGTACTAGTACTATATTCATGAATTTGTTTTTTTTCTTTGAATTATCGTTGTCTAATATTGCTCCCTCCACCACCATCAATAACGAAAACTCTTTTGCACTTGGTATTGTAAGTGGTTGGAGGGCGCCACTAATTGGTCCAACTTCTTTTCTTTCCCTGTTGTTTCTATCTGTCTGTCTTGCTTTTTCCTTGCTTTATTTTGACTATGTCCATTATTGTGTTGATGTGCTACTCTTTACTCAAACTTTAACTATTTCTATTGGAGTATTATTATTATAAGGCTATTTCTGTTATCATCTTTATTGTTATTATTATTTTTACTATTATTATCATGATTATTGTTATCGCCTCGACATTGCTATAGACATAGCCCCTACATCTCTATAATCCCCCACCCAGCGCACTGTTGATGTTGCTCTTATGTTAGTGAAAACCTATGTTTTGTTTCGTTGCTATCAGCTGGTATCAAATTCTGAAGAAATGAATATCTAGTGAGTGACATCCTTTGATAACTTGTACTTTTAGCAATGAGATCATGGTTGTGTATAATTTACGATTTGTTAGAAAACATGGAGTTTTGTGACCAATAAAACAAAGTGAGGTATGTTTTCTTTCTGTCACTCAATGTGTATCTCAGTACTTTCAAGTTATTTATGGCTTGTTCTATGCGAATGAAGCCATCTCTACATTTTTCTGTCTCTATCATTGAATAGTTTGACAAGAGGGGCGGACTTTATGATTGTTGTCTTTCTGATTGTTTTTATTCTTGTCCTAATTGTTGTTGTTTTTGTTGTGACTTGTCTTACACTGTGCCCCCTTAGTGGGAAAACTTGAAATGTTTCTTTTTTTGTGTGTGTTTTTCCCTGCTCAGTATGGGTGGAGCCATCGCTGTACACACAGCTGCGAGGGACCTGATCCCATCACTCATTGGTCTGGCTGTTATAGATGTGGTGGAAGGTAATGATTTACACAAAGGTTTTTTCCAATTTTGTTGTTTGTTAAAAGAAAGAGAAGCATCAAAAGGAAAAGATTCACTCTTGATTTTTCTTATCTAAAATTTGTATTTAGAAGTGTGTTTGAAGGTGTGCTGATGATGCGGACTAGAGGTACAGTGGTCTCCACCTAAGAACCGAGCGACCTCACTTCCTTCAATCGCAGATATCTTGAGTTCTATTCAAGATAAATGGATATTTATTTAATTGAAAGCAAGATAAATAAAGAAGCTTTAAGGTGATACCAATAACTCCACACGTCCAAAGATTGACGAGCGCCTGATTCCACTACGTTGTGACACATATGGTGTAATCTCTCCTATAATAGAATAGTGAGTGTCATATCCATTTTTCTGTATAGGGTAGTGTGTTTTATTCATTTTGATGTGTTGTGTGTTTAGCTGTGTGTGATATTCTTTTTGGTGTGCCATGCCTGCCTGTTTTCCTTTTTTCTTTCTTCTTTCCTTCTTGCGATCAAGGGCTTTGCTTTGTGAATAGCTCATAAATAACTCATTTCCTCCCCCTACTTTTCTCTTACACAGACGGCACACAAAGACTCCTGTCATGTTATAGGGCTGTCCTTTGCCAGATGGTTGTTGTAGGTTCGACACCTCAGATTTCCCTGATGTCAAGTAAAGTTTTTGTGTGTCAAGGTCATGTTATAGGACTGTCAGTGTGCCAGATGATTGTTGTAGGTTCGACACCTCAGATTTCACTCTTGTCATGTTCTCCTGTGCCAGGGACAGCTATGGAATCTTTAGCCAGCATGCAGTCCTTCCTGAGGGGCCGACCTAAGACCTTTGACACCATGGACAAGGCTATAGAATGGGCGTAAGTCTTTGTGTGTGTCTGTTTTGGTGTTTATGTGGGTGTGTGTGTGCATGCGTGCGTGTGTACGTGCTTGCGTTCATGCGTGCATGTGTGTGTTCATAATTGTAGGAAAATGTTGTATTTTTTAAAGTCTGTGCACGTGTGTAGAAAGGAAAAAGGTTTTTAACAATGAAACAATGTCCTTGGTTTTTCTTCTTAAGGGGGGAAATGTTATTGTTGTAAAAAAAAAAAAAAAAAAGATCATTAGCATGTCAGAATGATTATTCTGTCCGTGTTAATTAAGCTATACAGAGGACTTCTAAGGAAGGTGATTTTGACTTTGTTGGCTTTTGTTTGATGATATTATTTACTTTTACTTCCTGACCGTAAGACATCTTCATTCCTGATCTCTGTCCATTATTCCAGGATAGAATTTCTCATTGTATTGTAATTACTTTCTCCTTTACCTTTCACTTTCTCCGTTGTCTTTCTATTTTCTCTTTATTCTTTCTACCTTTTCCTTTAGCTTCCTTTTTCTTTTATGTATCTTTCATTTTCTTCAGAGTGCGGAGCGGACAGATCCAGAATGTAGAGTCGGCAAAAGTCTCCATGGTGGGCCAACTCAAGAGGTTTGTGCTCCTCCTCTGCTCTGTAGGGAATGTTTGAAAGATATTTGTTCTTTTCATTTCTTTGTTTGAGTTAAGAGAATCACATCATTACAATAATGCAGGGAAAAAGTAAGACAGACAGACTGACAGACAGAAATGATAAGAGTGAAAGAAAAAAAGTTGGACCCACCAGTGGTGTTCTCTAATCTGTCCTCAGAGAAATTCGCGCGCAACTTTTGGCCTCAGCGCAACTTTCGTGCAACTTTCGCGCAACTTTTGCCATTTTCGTGAATTCGCGAATTTTAGGCAATTTGCTGCAAAAGTTGGAAAAATAATAAATCAATTTCGGTAAAAATAACCGAAATTTTCTTCCACAACTAAAAATAACGACGCGAAGGGGGACAATTCGTACCTGAAATTAGAACTACCACTTCCTTTGCACTTTGCACTACGTGGATGAGATTGGGTCGGGACGCAGTCACCCGACTCGTTGCCTGAAAACAACGCGTTTGTTTTTGAGGCAACGAGTCGGGCGCGATCGATTTGTGCCACGATAGCCACTTTGCGCTGTCAGTCTGTCGAGCAAACCGACTCGTCCCGACCTGACCTCCCCAATAGTCCTGTTTGGACTGAATCATCTTCTACTTCTTCTAGATCTAGCTAAATCTAGACTCTAGATCTAGATCTAGATATCTATAGAGTAAACTCAATCGTAAACACGATCGTTTCGTTACTTAGCTTGCTTGGTTCCGTAGCACCAAGTAGATCAGATAGATCTAGTATAAAACTTTGTGAAAGACTTTAAATCTTAGGCCAGGAGGGTAGATCTAGACATGGATCGATTCATCCAGAAAACCCCTAAAGGAAAGGGGTCTTTCAAATATAATCTTACGCCTGGAAAAG